TGTTTGGTTGTTTTTTTTTTTTTTTTGGTAACTCTTTTTATATTTTACTATGCTTACATAAAGTCACGCTGACATTCCTTTCTTTGTAGGGCAACCTTTAGAAGCTAGAGTAAAGCAACCAGTTAAAATTTAAGTCCTATGGTTTTAGATTTATTGGTGAAAGAAAAAAGATCTGAAAACATTACTACTTTATACTAAGATTTCATGATGGATTTTGTGTTTTAAGACTAATTTTTGTCATTTGAATTCAATAACACACTGATAATGCAAATCAAAGTACTTACCCATAGGAGAAAATACGGGTTGCTTTCCACCTACTCATTAGGGCTGCAAAAAGTCCCATAACTAAAGCAGAACAATCAAAGAGCATATGAAATCCATCTGATATTAGACCTAGGCTATTGGTCAGTACTCCATAGAATAATTCCACAAAGGTAAAAACCTAAAAACAACAATTTGGAGTATGTTAGTAGAAAATCAGTTTTACATAATTTCCTTAGAATTATGCAAGAAGCACTTCCAGACTATTTATGCAACTCTTACTTTATGATACTGTCTAGTATGATCTAACTTTGCTTCTTTAAATGTGTGTCAGCATACTACAGTGGAAAACACAGTGGACTTCGAGTCAGGAGACACCTTGGTTCAAATCTTACCTCTGACACTTATCAGCGGTGTAACTTTAGGCAAGTGACTACCTTCTCTAGGACTCAGCTTCCTCATTTGTAAAATACAGATGGATAACAATCCCTGTTATATCTTATAGGGTTGTTATTGGATTCCAATGGGATATTATAGTATGTAAAGATAGGAGTTGGACTTGTGATTTCATTGGTATATGGGACTCCCTTTACTAATGCATATTGACACCTCTTCTGCAACTTACAGACTAGAAAGCTGTTTAGAAAACCAAACAGGTAAGTGACTTGTCCATGGTCACACAGCCAACATATGTCAGAAGCAGGACTTCAACTTGGTTCTTTCTTCCTGGTTCTGGGGTTAGCTCTCTATTCACTACACTTTAAATATTAAATTGCAAAGCCCAAATATCTCTTGGAAATAAAAGCTTATCTGTTGAAAGATACTAATATGCTACCACTGCTGTTGGTATGGCTATGAAACATGCCACATTACAACTGAACAGCTGAGTGCAAACAGATTGTAATATTTAACACAGAAGTAACTCTGGAGAACTGGAGTAAAGGATGTTAGCAAGGAAATTAATGACTGAAAAAGAAGCTGAATGAGGTGGTGTAATAAACAAGTGGACTGCCTGACTGTTCCACCAGTATCTTCACCTCTTTAGGGAAAGTGAGGCCAGGACCCCTGAAAGTTGGGCAGACTCCCATGTTAAACTAATGGAAGGACATATATGAAAACTGCACAGGATAAGCAGCAAAGATTGGTTTTGAGGGGACACCATTAGAGGGGACATCTAAATCAATGTGCTCATAGAGCCATTTGAGTGTTGTTACTAAACCACTCTCAGGTCATATTTAACAACAATATTTACCTAACTCATTAATTCAGAAAGATAAAAAAGATCTAACTAAAAGGAGTTTGAACTATATTTTGGAAGGAGATGATCCTAAGTGCATGTGTTATTTATATACATTTTATATCAGTATCTATCATGTACAAGGCACAAAGTTGGACACTATGGAATATTAGTCCTGTCACCTAGAACATATGGACCTTGATAATTTAATAAGGATAGGGGATTAGGACTGGACCATTGGTTCTGGTGGTACAGGGAACACCCAGCTGAGAAAATGTCCTCTATCAATGCTAATTCAATATTTCTGATGAAATCATCAGATTACACCACAGTATCAGTAAAAGTGTTTCCTTAGAAAGTAATGCACACACAAAAAAAATGAATCCTATAGTGAATGTTTAGCCTTTATAAGAGAACAAATTCTTTAAGCACTTTGGCTTCTCATTACTAATACTAATCCAACAGTATCTCTGTCAACATTTTTTGTGTTTTTTTTTGGTTAGGCAATGGGGTTAAGTGACTTGCCCCAGGTCACACAGCTAGTAAGTGTTATGTGTCTGAGGCCGGATTTGAACTCAGGTCCTCCTGAAGCCATAGCCGGTGCTCTATCCACTGTGCCACCTCGCTGCCCCCTCTGTCAACATTTTTAAAGATTTTATGTGACTGGATGTACTTACATGCAACAGAATGGCATTAAAAATATTAAAATGAATCAAACTTCCACAAATTCACAATGGCTTCCTCCTACCTCTTCCACTAATCCGAATAAGTAAGAATTTACTGAATTTGTGAGGACACAATACTAAGATGTTGTTGAATCAAATGAGACAATGTAAAGCACCTCCCAATCTTGGGTGCTATAAAAATCTCAATTATTCTCAGTAGAAGCATAGTGTTGCATAATTTAGACTTTATTTGACAAAGATAAGAGTATATAAAAAATTCCAGGAGAAATACATTTTGTTTATAATATTCATTTCAATAACAACTGCTTGTCATAGAGAAGAAAATTAATTATACAAAACTGGTAACTTGGCATAGTGGAAGAAGTGTTAAGACTAGAAGTGAGGAAACCAATTCTGTCACTAACTAATATTAAACTGTGGGCACATCACATACTAACACACTTATGAAGTCATTTTTTACATCATCAGCTACATTTTACAGATGAGAGGCTGAGGTTCAGAAGTGACTTTCCTCAGACCATAAAAATGTTAAGTACCTTTCTGGCTTTCTATTTCACTTAGATTCTAGTGCTTTTTAGTTGTGAAATTCAATGATTCTTTATAACTTAGGATCAGGGTAATAAGGTGCAAAGAAATAGGTCATAGGGATCTGTTTTAACGAACAGCTATATATATAATAATTTGTAATTTTCACATAGATCAATTTATAATTAACATTCCAAATAGGAATTTCTAAAAAGCTCAAAGAATATCCCTTTAAGTAGGTTGAATATATCCCTGCAATCTTGTTTACATTCTTTCACCTGCTTAGCAAAACTTTTTTTTTTTAAAGAGAAAATACAATATATAAAAAGACACTCTAGCTAGAAATGTCAAGCTGGGGCTAAATAAGACTTTACATGTACTGACTTCTTAGATCAAATTTTAATATATAATCTTCATTTTTCACATTCCTAAATGTGTTAAAACTGATAATACAGAAATTAAGTAAGAAGTCATATTAAAGGCTGCTAATAATAAAAGACTAATAAGCTTTTAAATGATATCATTCTACTTAAAAATCTTACCAGATTCAGGCACAAGAAGTAAAAGATGTGTCTAGAATCACTCTCCTCAAGTATTTGTTTCAGTGATTCTTTAATAAACCTAGGGATTGACTGTGAACTATGTTGTAAAGCATCACCCATGAAGTTATATAGAGGAGTTCCTTCAGGAGAATAGCCAACAAGGGTACCCTTCTGTCCTCTCTTAGAAGGAGAAGCTAGGATGTTAGCAGCTACAAAGAAAAAAAAACACAAAACAGCTTAGAATTACAATTACTTTCTTTATGTTTTGTTTTAAACAAATTTTTATAGAAGTCTTTTGTTTTCTTTAATCATCATACTTTCCTCCAATAAAATTTCCAAAAAGCTAATGCTTACAAAAGCCAACTAATGAAAGTACTTAAAACTTTAAAAATTCAGCATAAAATAATTTGATCACTATGATCAATAAAACTAAAAATCAAAACACTATTATATACAAAGCACATAATAGTGCTTTCAAGAGCAAAAAAAAAATCAGTACTTCATAGTAGTTCTTAATTTTGATTTATTTTATACTTTTAATTGACACCATCACTCTTTTCTAGTTCTCTCAATTACAAATTAACCTTTCTCATCTTAAATAGGTAGAAAATTAGGGAATAAAACAAGATGCTCACACAAAATGAAGAATATAGCACTCACTACCACCCCTCCAGAAAGGACATGTTCAGTGCTCTCTTGATGTGCTGGTTTATTCATAGCTCGAAGTTGGTCTGTTATTGGATGTGTCCAAAAATTTCCAAAAAGCAGAGCACTAATACAAATAAGAAAAGATCCATAGCGGGCACTTTTGGAAACTTCCATTTTGGCTGAACAGATGGAATCCACATAGAAATCCAGGACCACAACAAAAAAGATAACTGTTGTGAAAGGCATGATGAGAGAAGACCAAGATTCCACTTTACTCTAGAAAAAACAAAGAAATTCCTTCTAGTGAGGGATACATTATGCAGATATTTTTTAATGTGTTAATGCTTCTTTGCGTATAAAATTAACATCCTTTGGTCCAAGTAGGAAGACACAGATGTTTGAATGTAAATGTTAAAATGTACTGCATTTGCACATTTCTCCCCAACATCACATTATCCGTTTGCTTATTTTTATTTTTGTTTTTTTCAAAATCAGGATTTAAATACATCTCACAACCCCCTGGGTCAAAGGAATATGATAAATATTTGATTCTTGATGCATTTTCTAGAATATAGTTTTAAATTCTATTCATAGAAAAGAATCAGAATCCTACCATCTAAAAGGAATATGAAAATGTGAAAAGATAAAATCAAATAAGAATTTGACCATTATGGACATATACAGAGAAGAAAATAATGTAAATGTATGTAGAGTACTTTAGGGAAAAGCAAAGATTTAAGCTACTTGTATACTATTAAAACATCAAATTTATGAGCAATTCAGTTTTTCACTTACTGCTAAAACTTTTTTTTTGCTATTACCTCAGTTGTCACAGAAAGGATGATGACCCACGGGCACAAAAGAAGCACAGAAACAAGATGGGATAAGGCTTGAAGACGTTTGGCTCCACCCACATCTAGAGAGAGCTTTCTGGAAGCCGTATGAAAACCAACTTTACAACACAAGGCCAACACAAGCAATAATACTCCACCCTGTTAATAAAATGATAAAATTCTTAAGAGAAGTACATAAAATTTAATACTTAGAGATAAAAAATTATATTGGAAGGAAATGCTAAACTGTTCTTGCAAACTCTGATACTATGCCAAATCTGTTGCTTAGAAGAAAATGCTCTGAGGTTCATTTTCAATCAGAAGACTGTTCTTATTTTTTAAATTATCAAAGCACTATAAGAGTTCCATTATGAAAAATTCAAGTGGAATTGTGTTTTCTTATATAGAACTAGGGACATTAATCCTGTTAATAGTGTAATAGCAATTTATCATCTTCAAACTTGACATTTGAACAAAAAAATGTCTAACTGAATAGGGCACTGTTCAACATATAACTTATTTTGTCATTTTCAAGACTATCCAACTCACTTTCGTAGGTAACGAAATGGCTGTAGTCTCACATAAGGTATTTAGGAAGGGAAAAAGAGAAATGATAATATCAAATTGCCTAAATGTCTAACTATTAAGAAACCCATTTAAACAGAATCAAGTTGACAACGACAGACATACACACTCATTTTGTAGACATCATAATCTTAAAAAAAAATTCCAGTATTTTAGGTGTAAGGAAAATGACATACCTTGTGGTCTGCAACACCTAAGAAAGCGATGACTGTGTAAAGCATATGTGTCAGAGCACTGTCATGATGTCCTTCCGCTGAAGAACTTTAGTTAAAGAAAACATAATACATCATCAATCCACAAGTTAATAAGCATTACTAATGGAAGCTCTAATGCTTTTTAGCTGGTGTGGATTTGCAAGAGAAGACATGTTGTTCCTTCTCTTCAACTACCCTGCTAAGGATGAAGTCTTCTCTTCCAACATTTAGATTCAGAAAGGCCTTGAAATGTCCAAGATATGGAAGTAAAAGCATCTGAGAAATCATGGCAATCACCACTAGAAGCAGGGTCTTTTAGTTCCAAGGCTAGTCTACAAAAGCAAGTAAGTCTGGTGTGGAGTAGCTCAGGGACATTATGGGTTAAATAGGTTTTTTCTTTTGGTCTTGTTTTGTTTTGAAATTTCCTTGCAACCTAATCAACTATAGCATTGTTACTAAGGGCAAAACAACCCAAGTTGCAAATAAACTGCAGAGGTCCTTCATAGGCCAGATATTATAACTGACTGATTGGTCCAGAAGCACTGATCTGCTCCATTTCTGAGTTGTGCTGGCTCACTCCTCCTTAAACAGCCTGGTAGCCTTCTACTCCTAGAGGTCATTCCTATTAAGTGCTAGATTTAGTGTGGACACCTGATTGGCTTTAGCTCTATCTACTGCAGCTAAAACTCCTCCTTCCCAGTAGCAGAGATTATAACCACATTCCAGATGAATTTAGTTTGAAAAATCTTCTCTTAAACAGTGGATACAACTCATTGATGCAAGTTTTACTAACCACTAAATTTTCCTAAGCTCTTATAACATTTACCAATATGGCAATTCATTTTATGAGAGTTGATGTGTAGCTGTGGGTTCAAATTTAACCAAAGAACAAATAAACATGAGTACCTATAACATATATGCAAAGTATGTCCTGGATACTTTGGAGGATAATAAGTATAAAACATCACTCCTACCATCAAATCAAATCAAATCATAGGATCATATATTTAGAGATGGAACCCTCTCATTTTACAAGTTGAAGAAACAGAGGCCCAAAGAGGTTAAGTAACTTGCCAAAGGTGAGAATGGTACCAAGTGCTTGAGTCAGGAAATGAACCCAGGTTTTCTTACTCAAAGTTCAGCACGCTCTCTACTGGACCATATTACTGATTGCCACTTTCTACTTCTGGGAATTACTCTGTACAACGTTTTTACATAATCTGCATACATCTTGTATTCTTCCTTATGGAATGCAAACTTTGTCAGGAAAGAATTACGTAGTTTTTCTATTTGTTGCTTAGGTCAGTTCTCACAGTATCCTGGGATAAAGTAGGCACTTAATATATGCTTTCCAAATTGAAGACATGCTGACTGTAAGCCTAATTTAGGAGGGTCTAATGGTCTACTTCTTGTTAGCTGTAGATCTACCAGCTTCTATTACTTGAGAACAAATGCCATTTTTCTATAGAATTTCCTATTTCAATTCCACTTAATTTCAGAATATTTAGCCATTATGGAAGGTTCTATGGTCCTGGAAAAATTATTTATTTTAAAATAAATCTATTAGTTGTGTGAAACAACTTTTAATATTAAGCAATTTTATTCTGTTCCATTTGTGAATGTGACAAGTGTTAATCACATTTTACTCTTCCTTTACCATTGGCATTCTACTATTACAATATTAAAAATATCTAGACTTGATTTTACTCTTTTATGAAAGGATACGGTGTTCAGCAATTTTAGCCATAAGATCATCATTATCAAAAAACAATAAACAGATCACAGCAATGATGAAAAAAGCAGCCCCTCTTGTCTGAAAATAAATAAGATTATCTGTTCTTAGAAGGTTCTCCAAAGGTTACCAAGTTTAATGTTAAAAATATTCTGAAGATACAAGGAAATTATAGGCTATTAACTTTTTAAAGTAAAAATTCATATCTAAAAAGAAAATAAGTACATAATGACCTTTAGGTCATTTTAATTATATCTTCAATAGTAATATATAAAAGCAAAGGGTCACCTTAGGTCCTGAAGAACATTCTGAGACATTTACAACACACAATGCTGAAAAATAAGAATTTTCTTTTCCTTGTTGTCATGGCATTATGTTATGCTTCAATTAGTGTAAGTTAAACTTTCTAGTTGTTATATAGCTGGTAATTGGAAATTCTACCTAACTCAGGAAAGACTGTTTAATAGGCATCACTAAGCAAGGAAGGAGGCAGTTAATGGAAATGAAATAAAGATATAACTGAAAATTTTAAATCATGACAGGATAGTTGAAACGTTGTTTCCCATCACAAAGCCTCAATCAAAGAAACATGTAGCACACTCAGTTGCAAATTCAATTTTAATTATCTATTAGGAAATAAAACAGTTACAACTAGTCATAAATCTGGCCCAGGGGCAGGGAACCTTGAGGCTACAAACGCCCCTCTAGATCCTCAAGAGTGGCCCCTTTACTGAACCCAAACTTTACAGAACACATACCCTTAATAAAAGGATTTGTTCTGCAAAACCTTGACTTAGTCAAAAGGCTGCAACCAAAGACCTAGAAGACCACATGTAGCCTCTAGGCCGCAGATTCCCCACCCCCATAAAGGTCATCTGGACAAACAGATACTCAATCATGCTTTAAGTTGGGCAAAGAGCTTTCCTTACAATCCTATAACATAAGTACCACCTGTACCATTATTCCCATTTTATGGATTTGGACAGTGAGGTTGCCTGTAGGCCACAGGTTCCCCACCCCTGATCTCGCCCCTTCTTCTAGATCCTTACTTAAGTCCTATTCCAGAGACTCATTTTGGCAAGGAGTTACTCTTGGTAAGGATGCACAGGCAAGACAAAGCAAGATGCATTTATTAAGTACTTACTATGTACCAGACCCAGTGCTAAGTGTTAAAGATACAAACACAAGCAAAAAAGAGAGTTCCTGCCCTCAAGGAGATTATATTCTAAAGAGGGAAGACAATACAAAAAAAGGGAGCTGAAATACAGAGTCGAGAAGTCCAAAGCAGAGTCAGGAAGGGAATGAAGGTTGGCTGGCCTGGGCCCCTACTCAAAATGGAGTTCTAGGAAGGAACTTACCAAGGGAGAAAGGGGAGGGATATTCCAGTGTAAGAAGGCTGCAGAGGAGGATGGATGTTACAGGATGAGGCAGCCCCAGGCGCTAAGAGAAGTTGTAGGGTGAGATGGCAACTGAGGTACGGTGGCAAAGCCCAGAAAGTTAGAAGTAGAGCCATAAGGACAAGTTCTACTGAAATGTAAGGCTTTGAAAGTACAGGCTTAAAGTACTGTGCCTGTCTGAGAACTAGCTGAGTTAATTATGAATGGACATTTCTTGAATGCTTTAAAGTTTGCCAAGTGCTTTATGTGCATTGTCTCCTTGGAGCTTTATAACTCTGTAAGAGATGTATATAGATATTATCTTTATTTTACAGTTAATGAAACTAAGCCTCAGAGAGCTGACGTGAGTGGTCCATGGTCACAAAGCCAGTAAGTGATGGAGGCAGATCAGAATCCAATTCTTCTTGACTTCAAGTCTAACATTCTAACCTCTATACAAGGCTGTCTACAGCTAAGTTCAGTTTCACCACAAGAAGATAAACTAAGTCATGATTATTCTAGAAACTAGATTCTAACAAAAATAGGGAATGGGTTAATCTAGTAAATATGATTTAGAGTTACCAGACAGCCATACCAGTTAAATTTTTACCAAATTTGTAATGCTCACAATCAATGTAAATAAACAGGCTAATATGAAGTTCACTGCAGCCTGCATACCAATATCCAGTGCAGAGGATAAAAACATAAGAATTCTATGAAGAGTTCAACAAGATTTTCCATCAAAGCCACATATCATATCATAAAAGAGGACATAGATGTTGTTCAGTGATCTCCTGGATGCTGATGCCAAGCAAGGTGTTAAATAGGGAGAAGTGTATTCACCTAAGGACACTGTCAGAAAAGATGTCCTTTGTAAAGTCCAAACAAAACGCTGAGTCTTGATTAATGGTGACTTTTTCCAAATGCTCCTTTGTGGTTGATACTGTGTTAATTTCCACTGAGTCCCAGAACATTTAAAATCCTCCTCAGTGAAATATCAATTGTGAAGGAGTCATAACTGCCTACAATGAAAAACAAAGTTGACAAGTGCCTATTGCCCATAATCTCTGATACAGCTAGATATGCAGCCTATTGCATTAGTTCATCAATATGATTATCTCTAGCCAAAGATGGACAATGATCTGGACTCAGAACTGGGGAGGAAGCCATCAGTATGGACTGCTTTTCAGAAACTGCACGATGGTTTCAATGGTTCCCCAAAAGTGGCTACAAAAAAAACAGCTAACTTCTTAACAGTTAACATTAATTGGTAATTCATCTTGATATTTTTTTCCTTTGTCCATTCCCCACCTCTCCCTGCCCCCCCCCACTTTTTTAGCATCACCAACTTAGTAAAATAAACTAAATAGTAGGAACTGTTGAAAATACATGCTACATCTATTTTCTCATCTTTACCTCTTCTTCTAATTGGATGTTTGATTTAACAAATTAATGACTAAAAAGTAACAGGTGATTCCTCCCATATCACAGCAAAAGTCATTTCCTCTCTGTAGTCAATTTTGTTATTTTAATGTCATTATATGGTGTTTGCTATGTTTGAAAGTCAAACCTCAAGTTATTTAAAAGGGGAGAGTTATTGAATGACAAGAGGCTCTATGGATAGTATTACTTCAGTAAATCTGTGATTTTACTAATGAGGGAGTATTCCCTTCACCAAAGCAGACCACAACTCATCTGCATCTTCTCAATCTCTGTAATTCTGGTCTACATTCTCTCATAGATCTTATACTGATGATTCACCGGATGTGCTAAAGGCCTTCCTCTGGGTCTTTTTAAGTTCTGTGGGTAAGATGGCATAACACTTGGGCTGTCAACCTTTGCTCTTGCCACATAAGTAACAGCTTATCTCCTTTTCAATCATACATTTCATTGATATCTTTATGCGACTTTCTGCATGTAAATCATCACTGGAAATGCATTGCAACCCATGTCCATTACGTGTCCTCCCATTGCCCCTTGAATGACCTGTGATTAATTTTTTGAAGACTGCTGTATTTCAAGAGATGCAAACATACAATATCAACTGAACATGTATTTAAAAATACAGATTTTTGCATTAGAAAGGAGTTTTAAAAGCACTATACAATTTTCAAAATTCAATCTATACTGTACTCTTCTTCCTATTCAATTCTGAGACCAATTCTTTATCTACTTTCAGGACCTGTACCAAATATGTGCAAGTATGGGCAGCAGGAATTTTGTAACCATTTAGTTCTTTCCTGTATGGATTGTTAAGGTGAGCTCTTAAATAATCATGGCTTCCTCAATGAGGCAGTTTTGCAATGTTCTGGAGGTTTGATGTAATCAGCACTTTATTTTCTGTCAAGAGGAAGCCTTGAAAGGCTGGAGAGAAGAGGTATTCCGTTTGGATCTTCCACAGGCCATCCTCCATGACAGTGATAAGCATCTTTGGCAAAGCATATATTTATTTCCCTGATTTAAGCCTCAACCAAGGTTAATAATCAGAGGATTTTTAAAATGGTGCTATCTTGGCAGCTACATTCAGAAAAGAATCTTGTTTGGATTTAACATATGCATGAGATATTCAACTGCCACTAAAACAAGGTGACTGAAAACATCAGCTACTGATTCACAGTGACTTCCTACTTTCTTATTTCTATAAAATTTTCAGGAAAATAAGTTAAACACATATTGAAAGTATACTCGATGAAAATATGGGAGTAGAACTAGGAAAAATTTCACACTACAGCAGAACATCTCCTGCACAAATGACTGAAAGAAGTAGAGGGGAAAAAAAAAATCCCAGTACGTTTAACTATAAAAAAGCACTTGATTCAGTAAAACAAAATGCAACCTTAAGAGCTCTTCTCTAAACAAAGCATCTCTCATGCATATATTAAGAGCATACAAGGTTCCTTCACAGCTGCAACTCAATTAAGATAAATACGTTCAACGATCCTCTGATAATCATCAACGGCATAAAATGGAGACATTCTGACAGGTATTTGCCACTGTTATGGAGGCTATCCAGTATACAACCCAACAGAAGTGTGATTCTCCTAGTTTACAGATAACGTGCCAATAACATGAAGTTCAGAAAATTATAGCCAAATGAGATCCACCAACACTCAAAAGAGTTTGGCCTAACAATTCACACAGCAGAAAACAAGTGAATGAAGAATATCTATCGATATACAATACTTATTGCATATCTATAATACGTAAATGGATAGAGTTCATTGAGTCAGTCCATCAGTACATATTATACAGTGGACAGGCATTGTAGAAGGACAATGAACTGGGTACAGAATTGGTAGAGGAGAGTAGATTAATTTGTATCTGAGAAACCATTTAATGATGGTAAGCTCCTCTCTGAAACAAAATCCCTATATTTAAACACTAATATTCTTCCAGTGATGCTAGACTGATGTAAATCATGAAATGCCACAATAGTCAAATACTGAAAAGTTCTGGTAACTCAAAAATACAATCAAGAGGTACATGGCAGCATAAAAGGGTCACTGCATATCATCAATGATGACTTGTGTACAAAAAGTGAGGTGAAAGATACCACTCAGATGGATCAAAGGAAAAGAGGGTGAATATAAAAATTGATAGATAATGGTGATCACACCACCTGTGACTTATGAAGATCTTTATACACAGTAGCATTTTATCTTCACAAGAATCCTGTGAAACAGGCATTTCTATCCACCTTTGACAAATGAGGAGACTGAAGCTCAAAGGGACTAAGTGAAAACTCACGGTCAGATGGCGGGTAGCAGAGTGGGGATTTGAACTCAGTTCTGCCTGATTCCAAATCCAGTGCTCTTTCCACTGTAATAAGCAGATTTTCAACAACATTGCTTTATTTTTAAAAAAAAATTAGTGTTTTTTTTTGTTACTCTCAACTTGAAAAACACTCAACAACCAAAGATTTCCATGTACAAAGAGAAAAGGAGGACTGTATATGAAACCTTGAATCTCCATTACACACATCTCAATTTTTTCCTTCAACATAATAAATTGAACATGTTAGTTTCAAAACTATCCCCAAAACATTGCTTTATTAAAGGTTGTCTTGAATATTAAATCAAATTCTTTATGGATGGCCTGAGTCTATAGTGACACAAACTTAACACTGATGGACCCAGAGGGATCCTGAAGCACACTGGGTGATTTTCTCCTAGAAGACTGATCAGAGCACCAGAGAATAAGAACAAAGAGAGGGTCTGCAATCTGTACTACTGGAGGGAATATCTATACTGATAAGAGATCATAATGAGAAAAGTACTATGTGGCTGAAAATCATGGAATATTACCATAACTATTAAAAATAAAAAGTAACCCAAGGGTCAAAGAAAGGATAAAAGGTTGCTCTAAGCTGACTGTAGCATCAGATGAGCTGTAAGCAAGAGGTGGCAAAAAGGACACTACCAAGGACAGGATCAGAGAGGGAGATAAATTGAACAAGAAATAGGATTGAGAAGCAACCGCCCTAGTAATACATCAGCAGGCCCTGAGATGCTAAAAGGAAAAGAGAAAGCCCCCAGATTATTGGCAGATTTTAATCTGACAGGCTGAGATGTAGCAGTGAAATTACTCATACCGATGAAACAATGACAATTTAAAAAATATCTAAGGAGAGAATGTTGATGATATAAAAACTATTTCATAAATACTTTAATTTCTCTTATAATTTAGAAAGTATTTTAGAATCTCTTCACTGTTTCAGAGTCATAATTCTGAACATTGACAATATAATATTGCTGGAGTTGAGAAGTCTGTCAAATGGGAAGAATATCTATTTTGATAAACAAACATGTTCAAATAATAGACTGCTAGAGAGCAAGGAGTTGCTTATATATCAATTAGTTTTGTTTTAAGTATCAAAGCTATCAAATATTTTTCAAATATGAATTGTGACTGGAAACTGAGGAGTGCCCATCAATTGGGGAATGGCTGAATAAGTTACGATATATGAGAGTGATGGAATAATATTGTGCTGAAAGAAATGATGAAGGGGGCCAGTTTCAGAAAAATGTATTAAGACCTATATGAACTAATGCAACCTTCACAGTAAGAGTAATACTGTAAAGATGATCAACTGTGAAAGACTCAGTAACTCTGATAGGTACTATGATCCACCATAATTCCAAAGGACTCAAGACATAAAATGCTATCTACCGCCAGATACAGAACTGATGGATTAAGATTGCAAACTAAAGCAAAACTTTTTTCACTTTCTCTACTTTTCTTGCCTCTTTTTTTTTTTTTTTTTTTTTGAGGAGAGGGGGACGGTACATGGCTAACGCAGAAATGTTCTGCATGACTACGTATGTATGTTAGGTATCATATTTCTTGCTTTCTCAGTGAGTGGGGGACGGCTAGAGGAAGAGAATATGTAACTTGAAGACAAAAACAAAACGAAAACTTAAAAATACAAACTGTGAGAGATTTGTATTATAGTAGAATGTATATCAGCTATTTACTTAAACCAGGGGTAGGGAACCTGAGGCCTCGAGGCCGCATGTGGCCTTCTAGATTCTTACATAAGGTCTTCTGAATGAATCCAAATTTTGCAGAACAAAGATTTGTGAAGGATCTAGAAGGCCACATGTGGCCTCAAGGCTACAGGGTCTCCACTCTTGATTAAACCATTAACAAATTTACTATAGTTTTTCTAGATGGTAAAAAGATGACTGCAATTACTGTTTTGCTCTTGAATGACAAAATTTACATTTATCACTTCAGTCTTGAAATAAGGGATAGCTGAAAAAAAAAATACCTTTGCTGGTCCTCCTCCAGAACTAGTGAACAAAACATTTAGTAGTGAGATGACAACAATATCACTGTGTTCAAAGAGCAGCAAAGTCCTATGAAAACAAAACGTTAACAATTCAAATGGCTTTCCTATACTACTTTTCCATACACATAAATTCAGGTAAAATGAGAAAAAGGGTCGGGTGGTTTTTTTTGGTTTTTATAAAATAGTAAGAAAAAGGAATCTTTCAACACTAAAAATTATAACTAATTAGTATGTAGATTCTTAACTGCTCACTAATTTTCTTTCTCTCTACAATCATGGAATTTGTGCTTAAAGGCATTTTAATGACTATGACCCAAATACTTCAAGGTAACTAATCATACTTTTTACTTGAGAACAAGAAGCTGTATAAAGAAGTTGCTACATTATTTCATAAAACACTGATTTAAATTTTTAAAAAATTTCCTTTATAAACTTAGCATTCACAAATATTAATGATCAAATAAACAAATAGGAATAAAATTCTAAATAAAATTTTAAACTCCAAATGATTTATTTAGATAAGAGAAAAAAGTACTAATTTAATAAAACAGCAACAATTCTTTCATTCTTGATACTCTTCTGATCTCTTTCTTTCCTGTGTGCTTATGAATTTTTGTTGCTGTTACCTTAATAAAACAACCCAAAACAAAAACCTTAACTTTCAACCAACTTTCTGATAATCTGGATGCCTCTCTTTGAGAAAGTGAATGAACTGACAAATGGAAAGGATGTAGGAGTGAGTCTTTTTTTTTTTTTTTTAAACTTCATTCCCCCATCAGGTAGGGCTTATATTTGAAAACAGGAAAGCACTTGAAAGTGAGAGAATAATTTCACCGCCATGTAAACTGAAGACTGTGGATCCTCTTAATTCATTTACAACAAGGTCTAAAACATGTGTGCCAATCAAAAAAAAAAAAGTATCTGCATGGTTATGTTAACACTTTAATGTGTCATATATTTGCTTTGTGAAACTTATCAAAAGGATAATTGATAACTGTAATCAATAAAAATCCTTAAAATCAGACAAAGAGATTTTTTTCTTTTTGCAAAGATAAGGCCAGAAGTCTTTAAAGCATTTTGGGACTGTTTAGACTAATCTAACTGGTAAACTGTCAATTATGACAGATTAAGAATGGAGCAGTGGTTTCAATATAAAGTATTAATCCATCAAGTATACATGTATACTTGAATTGAACTCATTACAAGAAAGGTATTAATTTTTTTACATAAAACTAAACTTTATCAGTGCTTGACATAAAATGAGTTAAAATAAAATTGATAAGACAAAACAAGTATATTAATCAATGCTGTTTAACATAATAAACTTGTTTAAAAAATCCATATTTACCTTAATGGTCCACAAAGAGTGAGACCAAAAAACCACAAAAGCGAAATGATACACCCAGCAACAGCATGTTTAAATATTTTGATCCACTGCAAAAAGAAAAGTGAAAATGAACATTTTCAGTTATAGAAACTATTAAGACAACACAAAAATTTTATATTAAAAACTGGATAATGAAAAAATTTGAAATGGTAAAATACAACATTCTTAATGTAAATAAAAATATTAGCATCATCTGTTTAGCACATTTTAG